GTAGTGTGGCACATAGTGAAGTAGCATGACTTCTGCTATAGACTGTTTGGTAAATGCATGAAAACGGTCCTGGAGGAGGGAGAAAATTTGGCACAGTATGCAGGGCCTAAAGACCAAATGAGAAAAATGAAGGTTAGAGGCCCTATGAAGAATAAGAGCCAGGTAACCCAGTTGGTTTTTAGCCAGATATCCCAAGAATTTGTTTGCCATTCTCTTATCTTATTGGCTTTGTCCTTTAGTTTTTTAGCTGTATTTCTTACAAGTCCTGACTTGTTAATATAGAAACAACATTCTTCTTCTAGAAAGAGGCAGAGACCTCTTTTATCAGCTGTCAATAAATCTAGCCCTCGTCTGTTTTGTAAAGTGATGGCTGCTAGGGAGTCAATTTGATCCTGTAATTAAACTTTTTGCAATCTCATCTAGGCTTTCTTGGAGGTGATTGGACAATACCTCAAAATAGGATAGAGAGATCGCAAGTCTCCATATGCCTGTGCCTAGTCCCGTAGTAATCCCCAGTGTAACCAACAGTTGGATGACCTGAATATCCCTTTCATGTTTTATATAGTGTGTAATGAGAATTGGTAAAGACTGGTTATTGGGAACCATATCTATATTTGGAGAGAGATAGACTAGAGTACAAGTGCCAGTCCAGGGGGTGGGAAGGCAGAGATAAGTGCTAGTTCTGCATAGAAAGAAGACCTCTTGGTCAGGTACACAAGTAGAAACGTGTACGGAGAACAAATTAGTAAGAGGATAGATTGTTCCAGTGTGTCTTTTCTGAGGCTTGGAACTCCAGGCCATAAGTGTTGTAGCTATAGCAGCTCCAATCAAGGGGGATAGAGGAGCAGGGTATTAGTAGGTGTGCAATGAGTGTTGGAGAACTGCAGAGACAGTCATAATTCAAGGAAAGAAGGAGAGGGAGGGTATGTAAGAGGTTGCAAGGACAGCAGGGTAACCTGTGAAGAGAATGGATTGTAGAAAGAGGCCATTAGCCTCTGGAGAGACTTGGTAGTCTAGCCGCTGAGTCCAGTGTCCATTGGGTAGTTGGATTGTGACTGTCTGATTGCATAGATTGGAGGGCAGGTGTCCTACAGATAGAGAAGAGGACATGAATGCAGACTATACCCTTGGCTCCTGCTACTTTCCTTAAAGGAACACAGTAGCGGGCTCCTGGGGTGAGTCCTAGAACGAATGTGGGGTGGGGAGAAGGACGGTTTCTGAGGGACCTGAGCTGGACTCATCAGAGATCAAGGGGTTAAAGGAGGAAGCAGTGGGGGAGGGGGTTGTAGCTGAAGGGTTCAGGGAAGGGGGAGTTGGGGGAGTTGGGAGCTGAGGGGTTAAGGGGAGAGGGAGTGGGGCAGTTGGCCAAAAGAGGAGCATACGGAGGTGGGAGCCTAGGGGGTGGTGGCCTGTGGTCAGTGAGATCAAAAGAGGAAGTGTCAGTTTCAGAGTTAAGGGAAGTCGACTGTTTGGAGTGAAGAAGTAAAATCTGATAAGTAGAGCAAGATTTACAGAGAGGGTCTGGAGCAGAGAGTAAAGAAGGCCTGGATGTAGGGAACTTCGGACCACTTTCTATCGTGGTGACAGAAGTTGTTGAGGTCTCTTAATGAGTTATAATCGTAGGTGCCGTTCTCAAGCCATTGAGATATATTATCCAACTTATATTATGGCCAGTGTTACAACAAAAAATGAGATGCTTTAGGTCTGACATCATCCTCGAGGCTGACGTTGTGTAGGTTCCTTAAAAGGCAGCCAAGGGGCCTGTTGGAGAATGACAGGGAAAGTGAGGAGGGCGAGCGGAAAACCACGAGGGAGGGAGTGGCTCTTTGGGTGGGCATCCCCACTGACAGAGTCCATTTGATAGAGCAGAAGGATCCTTTCTGAGCTGGGTGTCCCCAGTTCATAAGGACCTGGGGCCAAGAGGCTGAGGAGTCTTCTGGCCTAGCAATAGGATTTGTCAGGGAATAGGAGACAGAATCCCCTAGCGGAGTGTATAACCACTCGCCTGAAAATTAAGTGACGAATGTGGACAGGCAGGTCAGCAATGAAAAGGTGAAGCTCTGGGTGGGACATCTTCCTGGCTGGGCTCCAGGAGGATTTGGTAAGTTAGGGCTAAACTCTTAGAGCCCGAGGAACAGGTGGATCTGGAGGTTAGCTGGTCGAGCTGCTGCAGCCCACTGCTCTCTGGGTTGCAAACCAATAATCTTGGGGTTCAGAGGAGTGGCCACTAAACCTACACCTAACCCTAACGGGTTTGGCACCAGATGTTAGGTTCGCCGAAGGAGGAACGCACAGGCCGAAGGGGTTAAACAAGGTTTATCATAGCAGGATGACAGCCGGGCTGAGCCGAAAATGGCATCAGTCCCCAATGTGAAGGGACTGGAAACTTACACGGGGCATGAGGTGGGCTTTTTCAGTGGGAATATTTCAGGAGAGTAAATTGGCGGGGAAGGGAGGAAAGTCCAGTGAAATGGGAGGTGAGCATGGAGTGTTGCCACCCCGGACGTTGCAAGGTCTGGTTCCCACACAAAGGTCAGGGAGGAATCTAGTTCCCACACTACGTGAGTAAAGGATATGGCCCTCCTGGACCTAACACAATGCTTTTTCCCAAATGATTTCCTGGCACTTAGTGAGATTGAAAAAAGCCTTTTTAATATAATAAATCACCTTTATAAATTTCTAATATTTTAAAGTGTCACTCTACAGCTACATCTTGCTTAATTATGACTTGCATTGATACAAACTCATTGATAATTTAAGAGTATTGTGTCAAATATTTTATTTAAGTGATTTTTTGCGTGTGTTCAGGAAGTTTCCATAATATGGGGATTCCCCGAGTCTTACACATTTAGTAGAGATTTTAATAAACCTTTAAGATAGGAAGTATCTTCCTAGATGTGAAACAGAGAGCAGAAAAATAATAAAGTGATTGATGTATTTAACTATATCAGGGAGAAACTCGTTTGATTAAATTGTTTTACATATTCTTTGCTTGTTAGCATGGTGCATACTGTTATTAATGAAACAATTTAAAAATAGTATCTATTGAGAAGTTCTATGTAATATAAATCTTTTAGCAAATGCTGCCATCAATTTCTTCATCTGTAAAATGAGATAAAATGGAACAGATAATAGCTCCTGCCTTATGGGTTGCTGGGAAAATACATAGGACTGATGTATGTAAAATGCTTGTCGCCATGTACATTTGAAAGTAATGCCCCATTTATTTCTCCACCAAAATGATCATAGCTTTTTAAAAATTCTCAAACTGTGCAGTTTTCCAGATACAGTCCATTGTTGCAAAATGAATGATTTTTAATAAATTCCTCTTAAATTTGATGCTCCCTTTGGAATGAAAATTCAAGTTTCTCTCTCTCTTTCTCTCTGTATATACACCTGTATCTCAAATAATGCCTCAAGCCTTAGATGAAAATCTAGCTTCTCTACTCTTTACTCTGACTCCCAGAAACTTTTTCTGGCTATAAACTCTATATTATTAAGTTAGCTACTTATACAACTATTTCATTTCTCAGCTTTTAACTTTCTAATTACTTTCTTCTCTGAAAAAATTCTCTTACACATCTTAAAACATAATTTACTTTGTGTAATATAATTTCTAAAAGAATTATAAATCAAGTCAATGTTTATTGTCATTACATAAATGTTTACCATTTAATGACATATAAATCTTATCCAGTTGCGCCATGTAGGGATAGTATAAATACATTCTCTTTGCATTTTTTTCTTTTAACCTTTGAAATGGTAAAAATTCCATTTTCTTCCTATCAGTTTATCACTAGTTCACCCGTCTGCACCGGAAATATAAATCTTTCTTCAGTAGATCCAGATGCATGAGACAAATTACCAGTTTAAATTTTTCCTTGTAGATACCCCTCTTGGGCTTGAATATATACATATAAATATACGTATACACTAAATCTGGAAAGGCAGAGGAGAAAAGGATGTTTCTATCTAGGCAAAAGGACTGAGAGGCAGTGGTGGGAGTGAGAATATTTTACTCTCCATGTACTTGACTTGGAAGTTCCTGTTTATCCATGATGTAGTTCCCTCCCCCACCCCAATAAAAATTTTAAATTAAAATAGAGTTAGATCCTTTTCTACAGGCTTGGGCAGCAAGTTGTAGAGAAATGTGAACATATAATCCACTTTTCAAAAGAAATTAAGAACAGAAATGTGCTCAAAAAATGAAAAGTCCTAAACATGGGCTTGTCGCTCTATTAGGCTTTGTGAGGCTATGTCGACGTGGAGGACAAATCGAAGACGAGCTGTTTGTTTCGCATCCTGCTATCTGCACAGACTAGGGTCCAGGGAAAGTGCCGCCTGCAGGCCTCCTCTAGGGGCGACTTCCTCCGGCTGCCCAGCCCGCCTAGCCCATTCCAGCCTCGTCTCCGCCTTACCCATCCCTGGAATTGGACTCCGCCCAGCTCCGCCCTGCTGCTCCAGCTCCACCCCACAGAGCTGGTCCCCACCCCCGGAGCTGGCTCCATCCCCCCCGGAGCTGGCTTCCTCCCACTCCACAAGAGCTGGCTCCACCCCCCAGCTTGTCCCCACCCCCGGAGCTGGCTCCACCCCAGGAGCTGGCTTCCCCCGC